AAAAAAGATAAATTTTGGTCGCCATCCACTAGCGTTTCCTTGTTGGCCTTATATAGTAGTATACTACAATAATAAGACATTATCACAAAAAGTGTTACACATTTGAAGGGGTGAAGGAGTTTAGTCATATATAATTGGTAACGATATAATAAAATAATTTTGTTTATCAGAGTAAGAAAACTGAACTATATAATACATTTAATATTATGCAGTGTATGATAAAATATTTTTAGTTAAATAATCATTATCATATTAAATTAAAAGAGGAAATACCTTCCTTCAATGTAAATAATAATTAATATAWGATGCAAATAATACAATCAACTTAAAACAGTAATACATAAAATGTTTAAAAAAAATCATGGATTACAACTATTGATCATAATAATCAACTCTGCTGCCAGATTTATAACTTCTCATGGCTAATGTGTTAACTAGTTTTTGACAAGCGTCTTCTACTTTCACAATATATTGTTTTTGTTGTACACTTGTCAACTTTTCGCGTAAGTCTTTGTCTTTTGAATTCAAACTCATATTGTTATACATATCAGTTAACACAGGGCCTAAAATAAAAACTAAACGATTTAGTTTAATTATAAATAAAAATATTTTGAACAATTTTTTTTTACCAGGGGAGTAGCTAAGAATATTCAGTGAAGGATTTTCTAAAGMCAATACACGAAAGTACATTTCTCTACTAGCTTTTCCAACGCAATAATATCCAACTGATTTATATGGTTCAATCGCCAATAATGAAGTAATATTGATGACACATCTTTCAGCTCTATCTGAACTGAACTTGGACAAAAATACACTTGTTAGACAGGTTACTGAATATAAATTTAACAACATATATCTAGAAAAAAAAAATKTTTTTAATTTTACACCATTGATTATTGTGCATTTTATAATTAATGGAATTTATATAATAAATATTTATGTTCAATGTCCCAATCAAATCAAACACATATAAATATTTAACTAATATAAAAAATGAATAATTACTTGTTCCATTCGTCGGGATCATTCATGTCAGCTGCAAGATGATCCAGATTACCAACTGACCCAGCATTATGAATTAACAAAAATAATTCATACTTTGTTGAATCGATAGGCTCAACAATTTTTTCAAACATTGTTGTATTGAAGTTGTATAAATCCACGCTATAATACTATGACACCAATAAAATGTTAAATTTAAGGTGATGAAACGTATTTGTTCTATAAGGTTAGGTACCTACCTCTACCAAAATATCACTGTTTTCTTTATTCACCATTTCTTTAGTTTTTTCCAGACCATTTGTATCTCTAGCCATAAGAACAATGGTTGACTCTGGAATCAAAAGTTTACCAATTTCTACAGCCAAACACTGCCCTATTCCTTTGCTAGCGCCAGTCAAAATGACACAAGTACGACGACTCCAAAACTCATTCATCTTCAGTATCTTAATCAATTAATTTTTGGGTTTCAGTTGTAGACAAAGACTATTCTGGATTGATCCAAGTCGAAAGTCCTGAAGGTTGGGTGACGGTCTCCTCGTTTTCAAACACAATATTATCTGAATCCACCAAATATTCTAAGYATGACTTGAGAGCTTCACGAAGTTGATCGACAATTTGACGGCATTTTGTACTATCAGACTGTGAACCGTTCTTCAGTATTTTCAGTTTATGGTGTATTGAACATTGATGGTATCAACATCAAATAAGCAGTTTACATTGTAATCTGATGCGTTGATTACATAACACGTATTTGTTTAACATAATAACATAGAGTATACAGAGGTGCCCTATTATAATATTAATTTAAAATTTAACATTTGAACTATACAATAATTAAAATAATCATAGGTATACTGAATCATGTGTATACTAATAAGTAATAATACTATATTGTATCTAATATCTATAGGTACATATAATAAATTATCAGCTAGTAAGGAATAGTATTATTAAATAGTTATTTATTTGGAAGTTATACATTTTTACATAGAATAGATTATGAATATTTAGAAGTTAGAACTGAAATCCATCAGTTGATTTGCACAAATTAAATAGCATAAAAAAAWAATAATACCTAATGTTTACAAAACCACTAGTATAATAGAACTATTTAGATGATTAAGAATTAAAAAAATTAAATATGAAATAGAATTAACTAAATGAAATAAAAAAAATCCCCTATTACAAATAATAATAATGTACATAAATGTATTAATAATGAATAATAAATAGGCACTAGGTAGTACAAATAATTATAATAGTAGTAATAGTCAATACATATTTTGTAAAAAATAAGGAAATATGATTATTGCCATTTGAACAAAATCATGATGCATAGACGTTTATTGTGRGGATTTTCATTTCGAAAAACGTAGAATTTCAAATTAATATGAAGATGTTATTTCTATCAAAATAATACTTTTAATATAAAAACAAATTTCAAATAAAATGGCAAATTTACTGGTCGATGCAACTGACCAAACTCAAGGAAATAAAAATCACAATTTAAAACTAGCAACTAGCAAGACCCGAATCTCAGCAGGAGAAAAAAAATTATAATCAATTGTCTCCAAATAGGCCACRCAAAGCTAACTCTCAAGTTCTTAAAGGCTAAAGAGGAGCCCCCTCAACGCACAGTCTGTGGGGTTACGCTAACAGTAAAACATATAATAACAGAGTGCTACAAATATTCCGTCGAACTCAGAAAATTCAATATTCCAACCAACAAGAATGAAGCATTAGGACTAAGCATCGAAAAAATCGCAAACAATATGTTTCATAAAAAAAACCAACCTATACAATACAATTTAAACCTTCTGCTAATGATAACCATACCTAATATTAATGTTGGTGGRAATCACACTAAATTAACACCATATCAATTGTATGATTTTAATCCTAGAAATCACTCATTATTAAACAAAAAATTAATAACCTTTGTTGTTGATGTATTCAAGTTCAATAAAAAAAATAATTAGAAAAATAAAATGAGTGATTTTGTAATGCAGAAAATAAATGTCTGTAATGGTATAACAAAACTGATTAGAACATTRAACAATAAATTATTGCAAATAGTGCAATAATGTTATAATATTATAATAATTATCTACAACAGTTAATATTGTGCAAAGGTATTAATTGAGGAATCCTGTTTTCTCACAAAACACTACGTAGGAATTCTATAATAATATATTACGGTAGAATGAGAAAAACACCACGAGTCACGGAATTTGTATGACCCTTACTAGTTATATAGATTATTAGGTGAGCGTRTTAATGAAATATTATATTATATTGTTCGTTCAAATTTCTACGTTATTTTTAAAATTATTTTTTTTAAATTACCATTCCATGAAACACTAATCATAAAATAAACCATAATTTTATGTTGACGTATGTGCTTAATGCTGTATGATTATAACATGATAAAATATACACGATGTTCATTACAAACATACAGGACACGTGGCTACTAGCGGTGGATAAGAGAAAAAATATTATCCACAAGAAACGTGAGCTTATTATAATTAATGGAATCCGAGATGATTAAATGATAATATTATAAATACATATTATGATGACAACAAATTTTTAAAAAAAAGGTCATAACCAAAAGCCTAATCGTTGTATGATTTAAAAATATTCACCAATGGATTAAAAATAAAAGTTACATTTTTTTTTTATCTTTTAGCCTTTATAATATGTAAAATATCATACAAGTATTTTACATGACGTACCTACTAAGTATTTAGTACATACGCACTAATACGCGGTCTATATGTATATTAATACCATTTAACTAGATCTGTCATAATAWATTAACTATAAAATGTAAAAATATAATATATTGTATTAATAAATACAATTTTCGTTAGATAATTCAATTAGCATAATATTATATGTACATACATTAAGTACATTGTTGACACGCCTATAATAATAATAGTATACCCCCATCCAAATCCCTCGGTTAAGAAATCTTGATGTCCCCACAATTCTCGAAAATCCCTTCCACATCCCAATAAATGGTTCGTGACATGCTATAAAAAAAAAGTATAAAAAAAAAAGTAGTGTGTTTAATGGACAACTATGCTTGACGATATGTCATGGTGTCTACTTATATATATATATATATATACTTATTGTGACCATTGATAATATATTAAGCACATACAACATACGGCATTATTGCTATATTCACTTAATATTAATATATTATACACTTTTTGGCCAAAAATATGGAGAGATGGGCGATAGTTCTCACTCGCATAGAATTAAAAAAGAGATGAGTTAATGTTGTGGTAAACCAGTTGTTTTTACTAACAGGATWTTATACAAAACAGCTGCAACCATAAGTTCATTATCAATCATTGATGTGGTCTTATATATAGGTATAGATTGTATAATATTTTATKTAGTAAAATGGTCCCTGATCTTTATTTCGTATAATATATTATAAACGTGAAATTCCGATCGCGTGTGTATTAATCTTCACACGCAATTGGCGATTGTAATTCAATCAGTTGTACCTATTTTATATTATGTGAATTCCGATGGTATGATTTTTCCCCCTTTAAAAATCATGTCCTACTGGTACTAACTTTTGACCTGTAAAATAAATGTAAACTGCCAATATTAAGAGTGTTATTGGTATAATATTCGACATTAGTACTTTTTACAAAGTTTATTTTGAAATTTAAAGTCAAAACTAAATTACATTATAATGACTAAACATTTTCTTTTCGTATATTTAAAAGGAAAATTAGTTACACTTTGAAGTCATACACCAACAGTTTTATTACTAGATGATTTAATTTTTCTATGATTATCATGCATAGATTATGAAATACAGTTGAATATTGAAAACTTATTTTATGCATTTTTCGAGTTTTATACTTAATTAATGAAATTTCGAAAAAAAATCGAGTTATCAAGATTCGATTCTAGAGATATGCATTCGTGAAGCTGACATTCTGTTCCAGTAAAGCGTATAAATAAAGCGTAATACTATTTTCCTAACTATATATAATCAATAATCATATCTGGGAAAATTTATTTATTTTTCATCTAACTTATTACTTATATATTTCAGTATTTTATGATTGTGCATACAATTTGATTTTGATTTTAACCGACTATATACCTAAAAATGTACCGACTATGTACCTAAAAATCGGTAGAATTTGCATACCCTGATCACCCATCGACGTATAGACTATAGTATATACTGTAGTTCTATAACCATTAACCAGGATTACGAATGACGGAGGGGGGTTAAGTATAAATTAAACTAAGTTTGTACTGTTTTCTTATATAAATAATAAAATTATTAGGGAGAAAATTATCACTGAATATACGTACGTTTAACATACGTATGACCCAACTTCTGTCGCATGACACCAAAGGCGTCCCGGTTTTTAATGTTATTTAAAAAAAAAGTCTACAATACCAATATACCACTAACTTGTCAATGTTCAACGCGGTTAAAGCTTGTATTGTAGATATTGTTCTTTTTTCTACGCTAAGTCAGGTAATTCAATAATATGCAACTTTGTAGGTGGTTGAAAACAATAGAATAAATTAATTTCACAATCAGGGGCGCAATTTAAATGAAAAACCTGGGATTGCTAACGCTCTTCTACCTTTTCGTCTTCTTTAATGGTTTCGAAAATGACTTGAAATGTAAATTAAAATGAATAAATTTGAGGGAGCTAAATTCAAAATTTGGAGGGGGGCTAAACACACCCTTGAATTGAGCCTACGTTCACGGCGGTGATAGTTTTTGTATTTGTATGTTTTTATAGTAATTGTAGTCTTGTAAAATATATTGTGAATGAAGTATGAATTTGTTTTTATAAAATATTGAAATTAATACGAAATTTGACTTATCCTATATTTGTGTTTATCTTGTTATATTTTACAAAAAATGGCAAATTTGAAAAATAGAAGCATTTAATATTTAAAAAAAAATACTTACATATTTTCTTTAACAATTATTAGTATCATATCTACACTAAATTGGCACATATTTCTATATAGGTACATACCCCAAGTGGTCAGATTAGGTATATATCCGGATAACTTTAGAAGATTGTTTGGTAATTTTAATTCCATATTCTCGTACATATTTCGAATATTTGTAGTGGAATAGTCCTGAGTTCTAATATAATATTATTAATATTATGATAATATAACACTTATAAATAATAATACTAATACTAACACTGTACAGTTATGTACATTTTGTAAAATTTAAACCATTTTTGGTGTTCCATTTTAGTCATTATAATAAAACGATTGTACATTTGGTAAACCCAAATAGAATTCAGAAAAGAAAAATATTTACAGTAAAACCTATCTACACCAGACACTATTATGGTCGATTCACACTAACGGTACGGTCACAATCCTTCGATGGGTAAAATATATCTATATTTATATTATACATATCTATATTTTACCTATTGACAGACCATGACCGTACCGTAAATATAAATCGGCCTTTAAACGGAATCCTCCTTATAACTGAAAATGTCAATAGTCCCAGTGAAAATAATATATGCAATTTCTACCTCTCTATGACAGAAWCTCTTTATAACGGAAAAATGTTTGGTCCTATGCGATTTCGCTACAGAGAAGTTTTACTGTATATGTATTTATCATGTAACACAAATAATGATACTAAAATATACAATATATTATAAGTTGTACAAACGCGTAGGTATATATTTAAATATTTGTATGAAACTTTATCGCGTAGGTATTGAATTTATTGACCTCAATAGACGTTCGTGGGTTATACCTAATAAGTGGCAATGTATGTATACAATGTGTCCACAAAAACAGCGTTCACTCAATAGCTTAGTTACTATTATATTATTAGTCAGTAGGTATTTTATTAGTTTATACATGATTTTGATAAAAAATATTTTTTTTCTGTGGGACTCAATACTAAACATTGAATCATAAATTCCTATAACTTACAATTTTTTAACTCTGGTACTTTGCACATGCGCAACAATTTTACTCTTTCTGTGTACCCTGTTTTTTTTGGACACACSGTATATTATGCTCATTACTCACTGCTCACATACGTATATAATATATTGATACACAATACTATAATTTTATACCRTTCTTATAGTTATTATCAATTATTTTAGATTGATAAACTTAACAAACTGATCAAAGATCGTTAGACTACAATACAATACATAAAAACCATTATAACGTTTCGTGTATTTGAGTTGATATTTCCTCGATAACAACTGAAACAATTATAGTTATAGGAACCTGTTGTTTAATATTCAATTTTAGCGGACAAAAATAATAGATTATTTATATCACTTTTTTAACTGTTAATTATTTTAAATTAATAACATTATTAATCCTGATCACGGATTTAATAAAGAAGTAAAGAAGCTTTATTGAAATTTTAATAATATTATAATATATTGGAAAGACTAAATGATGTAAACACCAAAAATGCAAATTTGCAGAAGAGACTGTAATAGTTTTGTAAACAATTTCATAAGAAAGGTAAWATTACGTTATTTCATATTTGTACATTATAAAAAATGATGGGTTAAATAAATTGACTAGAACCGTTGACAATTACTAAGGAAAATGTTGTGGCTTTTACAGGCYACAACACATGACCATATATTACTATTGTGAGTTACAGAATTTCTAAATTCAATTAGTTTGAATTTAGCATTGAAAAAATGTTTCGAGGCTTACATTACTTGGTAAAAAGGGCATGTTTACAAGAAGTGTTTTATCATTATCAGTTGAAACCTCGATTTCTATTAATTTAAAGGATTATATCATCACTTGGCCTTTCCACCATCTGTATACTATTGAGCGTACCTATATATATAGTATACAGATGTATACTGTTAAGCGAAAAAGTTATTTTTTGCACTTTCCTGTATAAATCTAACCTATATTGATATTTCAAGCTAAGTTTTCGCGATGATATGGGTTAAATGATACAGTATAATAATAAATAGTAAAAATAACTCATAATTATATATCGTATATGGTATATCTCGTGGTATGATAAGACTTAACGCGTAAGATAATAAGAATGAATAATATAGTGCACTTTGATAGACGTTTTCGGATCCCTATGGGATGAAAGACGAGATTATAATATTATTGTGATTTGTAAATGTTACATACAAACATACATATTTAATAAAAAATTATTAATTAGATTTATGACAATATTATTCTAAAATTATATAGTGTATCTAACCTATCCCGATTCTGGATAAAACATATATATGATATTTTTATTTATGCGATTTTGCTACCATATGTTATTCATATATAATATTATGTATATATGCAGGTACATAGTTAACAATATTTAAAAATATATTTAAATAAAATTGATTTCAAATAAAATTACTAATCAAACTATTTTGTATATTATTTATTAAAAAACCATCTCAAATCATACTGGTGTAGGAAGCAAGTCGCAAGTTAATTCAGAAATATGTGTGGAATTCKGATACAAAAAGCAGTGGCTTCTCAACGCTCATCAGTAAACGCCRCCATATTGAGTGTTAGGTTCAATAAATGACCGGTAAACGTGTCCGCCAGAGCCGTCGATGAAGGTCTTTCTCGTTTTCTTCGGGATCGATCCGCAGAACAGCTGCTGTTGGTTCCTCCCGATGGCAACGACACTACCAAGACCACGGTAATATTCGTTACCACGATGCAGACCGGATCTTGGTGCCGACCAGAAATACGGAGACATCGGGATTATTACATTTTGGTACGGACGTTGACGGTTATAATAATAATTGTGTCGGGGCATCGCCAAGCCAGAMGACGTTGGAATTGAAGCCAAAGCGGGCATTTGCGACGGACGATGAGAGAAGCCGATATTTCGATACTTTTGAGGTCCTCGGTGGTACGCGCCTATGGTTCGAAAAACATAATAATCAAATCAAAATATTTGTAAACTCTTTGTTGGTATTTACACGTTTTTAAAAATACATATATATTAGTTACTTATAGTTATTGTTATTTTTATTTTTTATTTCGTTTAGTCACGCGTATTCATCATAAGTGATATATTATAATATATTATGGTACATTACTATATGTATATGATATAATTGTTTACGCATTGTTCTCAATAATAATAGCCGGCTGGAAGGAAAAAAAGAAATTTGTGTAAGCTGTAAGGGGGTCAAATTGTTTTAAAAAATGTTTAAAAAAAAAAATATTAAACCCAATAATTTAACTTGTTTATGTGGCGTCGACGACGCTGTCGGAAATTTCAATCTAACTATATGGTTTTAACCGACATACGTTAATAAATGATAATTTATAAATAAATAATCGGTAGTGATGATAACTATTTTATCATCATATTTATAATTAGATTTGTAAGGTCGATTTATTGTTTAATAATTTATTTTTTCAGTAYAAATAAAATGTGTCAACGTTGAACCTTCAACTTGAATAGTAAAATGTTTTACATTTTTGCTATACATTTGCAATCCCCAATTGTGCCACTATCACACATAAACACGCTATCATATAGTTAAGCTCTTTATTGATCACTATTCAGTCAGTCAATTATACATACACAATATACCATGGTTATTATATGCTCAATACATTTGGTATTTATATATTATGTTTTAATTAGAATTAAACAACCACGAACTGTCACAAAACATATGAATGGTACCTATGCACATGGCCGCCGGCTCAATGTGGTAGCAATGGTAGCAAATTAGGCAGCTGCCTAGGACGGCACTAGTGTGGGGGCGGCAAATTTCAAATGAACCAAAGTGATTTGATTATTATAATATATATAATATAATATAGTATGCTGAATTGTATGTTCATTGTTCAAAATATACCAAACAATGGTTCATAGATAAAAATGACGTCCTTATTTTATTCAACCCCCTGCTGTACAAAAAATTAACTATTGCATAGGGCARCGTAAATTAGATTTKCCTAGGGYGGCAAAAAACCTACGGCCGACCCCGTCTATGCATTATTACGTTTTTTTTCTTTTTTTAGGTACAGGGTAAATAATTAAAGTATTTAATATAAAGAATGAAGTAAATGACAAGAGGATTTCAGATGTATATCACTTTTGACTTCAAAATTAAAATAATTATTGCTCTCTCAGGTGAATCTTCGGACGAAGAACAATAAAAACGTTTATACAAAAATATAAAAATTCGAAACTCGACGGACCCCTATAGTTTACCAAATTCAAATTACTATTAGTATAACCCGACCATAAAACATATTATATTACGTAGGTAGGTATGTTAAACAGAAGAAGTTCACCAAAAAGAATCATCTAATAAGATCTCGAAAATACGATTGAACTCACCGGTGCCGTATAAGTAACTTCCGCCGATTCGATGATGATGAGTACCACAGTAGCGTCCGTTGGCGATGTTTGCCTGATGTAGGTATACACAACGAAATTAAAACTTATCATAATACACATCTAATATAATATTATATATACTACGGGATTTAAAACGACCTGAGTCGTGAGAATTAATATTGATGTAACACAAAAATAATAAACAATTTTATAGACACTTACCCAAATAGTGCGACTGTCTCCGCCACACCAGCAAACCAATACGAAGATCGCTGTCGCTTGATGCAAATTCATCTTCTGATATTTAAAAAACGTYCTCAACAATGCAGGCGATAAGAACCCGTCGAAAACTATATGTACCTAACAATGTATTATATAAATATATTAAAATCAGATCATTATAATTCCAAACACTTTTCAATTGTGTATTGATACCAAATTATTTGCTGTGACATGCGTGGTACTGTGCGAGCTTATAACTTTGTCCAACGACCGTATTTATAAAATATCTTGTATATATCCTGGGTACACCACGTGACATATTACTATGTATTATTATTATTGATCGGATCAGATTCGCGCCCAATTATCACAACACGCAATGATAAATAATATGCACACTACCATTTGACGTTTTTTTTTATGCGTACATATATGTATAATAATATTATCAAAATAGCTACAACAACAATATAGACATGTGGCACAATATGCGTGAATTAGAAGGTCAGTGTGAAGAGAGCTCAACAATTTGGAGCAGATATTTTCGAACGCACAACTATATACGTTGTGTTATAAATGTTATAATATGTAATAAATTATGTTGTGAACTTCGTGGATCCGTAGCTATGATGAGAGACATGTTTTAGACTAGCTCAAAAGCAATAGATAGGTACCGAAAAGACTATATACCTACCTATATTATCTAGGTATTTATCTTTATTAATTTTTTGAGGCGATATGTCTATAGCGCCATACGCCSATACATAATAACATATTCAATCATTTAATTTTTTCGTATTATACATATTRCAGTGTATTCTACCAAGAATTATCTCTGGTAACCCCTTTTTATYCTTTGGTTTTTAAATTAATTTAAATCAAATTTATCTTTTTTATTGTAGCAATAATAATCAGMAGTAGCGTGATAATATTTATAAATCATATGACGCACTGCAGTCTGCAACACGTTTTTAGTACCTATTCACACCACCTCTTTCTCAAAGACACCAACCATGTACCTACCTAGTATTATATCCAAGCACACAAATTTAATCTAAAACTTATAAAATGACGTATAATTAGTAATATKGGCGTAGCCCGTTTCGYCCAAAAACGACCGTCCCCGTTTGGCCCGGGTACCCGTTTTGCCCAAATTTTGTTTTTATACGATTGCCGTTTCGCCCAGAGTAGTATAGACTAATTATTTAAAATTAAGTTAAACTATGCAGTACTATTACTGCAGTAATATTACTAATTGCATTATTTTTTACCATAAGTTAACCGGGTGATATACGATTGAGAATGGAACGATTGTGGACGGACCTTTTCCCGTATCACGATTGCGAACGTTTTTACCTGCATTTTTCCGTACACCGTTGCCTGATTCGTTGTTAGTAAATTATATTTATATTACAAAAAAGATTATRTATTATATATTATTTTTAGTCAGTTTTATAACTTACACCCTCCAACACACGCAATGTTTTCAGTTTTAAAACAATCACAGGCACAAACTTTGACAATAATAAATTCTATTAAAAACAAAGTACATAATCCTATGGCCAAAAAAGATAAATGTGGAATTGAATCAACATTAAAAAGTTTAAATGATTATAAAATCAATAAGAATCTAATTTTATATTTATAAAAAACTGAAAATCCCTACCAAGGGAAACATTGAAATAAAAAATAAAAATACAGAAAAAACATTTTAAAACCATTTAAATTTTTTTAATTTATTTGCTTTTAACTTATTAAACGTTATTGAACAGTATTATTAGTATTCATATAGAATTTTTTTTAATCAATCAACATTTTAAATATTACCTATTATTTTGTATAAATTTATTTTAGTTTATAACGTAGTTATAATGCCACATTAAATTATTTGTATAATATAATACATACTTTGAAATATAAATTTGTCAACGTAKWRTAWAAAAAAACGTTCGCAATCGTTCGGTTTTCGGCTAAAAAAACAAATTCATCGGCATTCGTTCGCATTGTTCGCAATCGTGTTATACCCTAGTTAACCAACTAATTTACCCTATTAGACATCCTATAAACCTTTTCAACATGCACTATTATATTTTTATATTATTGATCTAAAACTTAAGGCCATTAGTTTTTCCAAATTTGTATACAGAATTTTAATATTTAACATTATATAGATTACATGGTTTTATATATAAATGTAAATTATAAAATATAATTTATAAATTTGGTTGTTAAATTAAATTTCTTTGAGAAAGGAGATAAGACCACTCGTTATGTCTGGCCATATCATGAATTTGTGTAAGTTAGTGTTTATTTTGTAATTGAGTATTGGTTAAATCTTATAAAATATAAATTGGTTGATAATCAGTAATCACAATACCAATTAATCAAACTTGAGAATGCCTGAMCGATTTGACTCATTTTTATTTCTATAMCTAAATGCTTGTAAAATAAGTCSGAATAAAGTTTTCGTGAAAATTCGAAAATTCGAGAAAAACTGAGTGCTTTTTCTGTGTGAGTTTTGAATGTTTATTTATAGAGTCACCATTGATTAAATATTACTATTATATTATTATAATTAGGCATATATATTTTTTACAGATATTTTTATAAAAAAAAACAATCTTCAGCACGCGCGGAGGCGAGTGGCCAGGCTCCAGGCGAGAAAGCTTTAGCTTAAAACGTAAAATATGCTCTATCTAGTGACGGCAGTAAGAGAACACAGCAATTTTTCACATTCACATTCGACAGCCTTCCATCAAGATCAATTCCATATTTTCATTACTGGATGATGTTACGTGGCCGCAAGGGAATGTGCAGAAAAACCGAATTTTGTTGGCCATGGCATTTTTTTTCGCTGGATAGAGTAGGTATATTATAATACATAGATAATTAATATTCAGCCTAAATTAGAGCCTTATTTTACTTAGACAATATTAAAAATATAAAATACTAATATATAAGTATATAAGTTTCAAATCATCTTAGCTCCCCTGATGGGTCGTCCCCGATATAATATTTATTTATTTATTTATAGTATACATATAGGTAATTCACATTTATAATTATATAAGATTGTTGTATAATAAARCATTTATTAATATTTATTACTTATCAACAATGACGTCACTATAGGGCTAAAATGTTGGGGGAGGGCTGTAGCTTTCATATGATATTACTTGTAAAAAGTAACTCTTGAGGTCGCCTCCACATCACCCATATATATATATATTCACTTAAAAATATTAAAAATTTTAGGAAATAAATTTATTTATTTATCCTGCGAGTTTTTTTTTCACAATAATAATATTTTAATATAGGTATTATCGGTGTACTATTTAGAGTTCAGTGCATAAACTGTAAAATTGTGTAGGTACCAATGTATCTATACAAATAATTATTTATTAAAAAAAAATACAGATATACAAATACAAGTAAAAATACAGACATACAGCTAATGATATTTACCATAATACCATAATATCATAAGAAATACAAAGTTATAATAAACTTTCAAAAAAAATTTTAAAAACAACGTCAGCAATATTACGAGTTGGTGAAGCAAAACTTCATAACAGAAGGTATGAAAAATAAAGGTTATCACTCATCACGGTAAAATATTAAATCTATGTGGGCAAAATAAAAACATAAGAATAGGCATTCAATTGAAATTTATTAGTTTATTATTATATTGTACAAAGTTAAGACAAATGGAATTTTTTTATTATTTATTAACATACAAACCTCGGTGTCGAGTAAGCCACACCTGAACGCTTTTTGGTCACAACGGCACAACAAACAGCCCATGAATCCGACTTACACGCTATCGCGCACTTTTTTCCAAAATAAAATCAAGAATTATCTACAATTTAATTTTAAAAGGTATACCAAAAGTTTAGGAAGCAATTGAATAAGTAATTTGGAGGCTAAAAGCGGCTAACCTCCCCAGCCCACCATAGTAAGTTGTACTTATGCCTGCTAAAATAATTAAGACTTACAATTTGTAGGTACGGTTCTTCTATTTTAAAATTATTTCAATAACAGTGACATCAATACCTACAACATAATTTTTTAACTAGGTTTTAAAAAGTCTTGAACTTTTTTTCCACAGTATAGGTTAGGTCTTAGGTATGTATATACAAATTTTTTAAATTACAACAATTTGCAAATTATTTTGTCGTTAAATTCTCTATYATTCATACCTAAGATTTGAAAAATCCCAAAATTAAGGTTCCACGTTAATTTTTYTTAGAATTAAAAACAAAATTTGAATACAATATTGCACAAAGTACGTTTGTATGAGCAACTGAAGTTTAAATTTTGAAAAACTAGAGTATTAACATTAAGCGATAACGATTTAAGTTTTTTTAAAGTATGCTTTACTATAATTATAATWATAATACTCAAAGAGTTTTAATTTTAGAACTTRACACATTCCACTATTACTTAAATTATCTCACCTGCTGTGTTGAATTGCTATCGCTGTAATAATAATAATTAATAACATCGCTCACTGCAGTWCGCAGAGTTGTTATTGTTATTACTGCGTATTATATGATTATTGTTATTATTATTATTTTTGTTTTCGGTGTTGTCACTGTGGAGTGGTCATGTRTAGCCGACGCTAAACATTTTAAAAACATAATACTTAAAAAAATAATATACCTACCAACATATTATATTATATTATTATTAATATCACACGTAGTATCTATATAGTCACGTCAGTGTGGGTATAATATTATAAAATATGATATCATATTATATACTACAACACATATACCTGCGGATATTTGCATAAGAAAAATAGCGACAGCGGTGCGGGTAAGGCGAGTAAACCGCGTTGGCCTACCTAAATTTGTTTAGAAGAACCCGGTGCGGAAGAAAAAAATTYGAAACCACGCGTCGCGGAAACGTTTAAAAAGCGGGCGCCTTCCGACGGACAGGGCACAGTAAATTGTTGCACTCTCCACGATGGTATACAGAGCGATCGCRCTTTACGTCGCCGTTCAGGTACACGTTCGTCATAATATTAGCTTTTACTTTAACTATTAAAATACACCMTTGAACTTCGCGCGCAGATGACTTCTTATAGGTACCTACCTACCATTGTTTTTGCAGTCTTATCCGGGGTCAAGTCGGACTTGGAGGGTCACGTTTAATACTCGTCGTCCACGACAGTTTATAAAYTCGTAATATCATATTGTAGAGCTGCGACCCAAAGTCCGGAACGCCTCGTAAAGTATTATATCTGTGGGTTTAGACGTGCATCTAGTAGTCTATACGTATATTATAATATTTCTAAATTTCAATTCGTTGGTGGTCACGCGAATTTGGGGTTTTTTTTTTTAAATATGACCAGGAAAATACGTTTAATATATTGTGATAATGTTTCTTAATGTTTTAACTGTTACCCCGATTTTATTTGTTTTCGGTTCGGCCGTGTCGCAGTCGGTCGTCGTCGCTTCGCCAACCGCAACCATGTCGCACGGTGAGAACATTGTCTCCCCGATGGGAACTTTTTACCACCCGACACCGTCTTCCAGGGCCAGGGGCTTACCGGAAGTGGGCAAGCTGCCCAGGACGTCAGCTATCTCCAAAAAACTTCCAGCAAGCGGACCCGACAGCAAATCGTGGCTCAAACTAACAAATGCAGGTATGTGCTGGCGTGTGCTGCACCTACTTCATAATCGTTTTATATTATTCATATAAAGCGGTATTACGCGAAAGTTCGAAAAATAAAATGAAATATGTGGCATGTAGCTCTGCAATTACTTATATATTTATATCATATAAGTCTGTAAGTCATCATATATGGTATATGTATACCTATATTATACATATAGTTGATGTACTAAATAAAGTTATATTATAGGTATAGAACATCATTATTCATATAATTATATAGCACCTACATACCACATTATTATGGTGTTACCTTGGGTAGGTATCTACKTTCAAATTATTTTTGTAAATAACTTAAAAACTATTTAAGTATTTAGGTGATTCCATTTGGTTACAAAAGTTACCTATGAATGTTAATTTCTATTAAGTTATTAACTTTTAATACCTACTGTCATCTCGTCAATATCGCACACAAATGATAAATTGCCTAATGTTCACAATTGTTAAATTAAAAATAATCAGCCACCTTTTTAGGTTTCGTCCGAAACTCGCGTGGTTTTTATTACATTGTTCGTAATTAKAAAACACCGTTGAAATTGAACCATTGAAAAAATTACAATTTCTATAGAAACCCTTMTAACTTATAAGTCTAGTAATAATAATTTTACATTACTATACTACTATTAATATTAGTCGTTAAAATAATTTTTATTCTTCGGTGCTTTGATGTGCCATAAAGGGTTTTGTTGTGTTAAGCACCCAATATTTAATAATAATAATAAGATCTTGATGATGTGTGTAGGCTTTCCCACCACATTAACATCGACACTAAACATGAGGTCCAATATAATTTATTGTGGTACCTACCTATAGTAGGTATATACCAAATGGCAAATAATATAATTATTTGTTTAACTCAAATAATTATTGTAACTACTCGTCTTGTTTATGGAAAATTTAAATCGGACACCGAACGTAAATTTCCGACGATCCGGCACATTTACGACGTAGGTACAATGCCGTTTTTTTGTTTAATAAGACATACCTAAGTATTGTTTGTGCGCTTGCTGACCACACAACATAATTAATAGTTTAAACAATAAGAGGTACCTACGTGATTTGTAGCCAATTTCAATTTAAACAAAAACACCAGTAGTACCAATGTGCCATTGTATTTTCGATATTTTTTGTAAAAACAAGTATAATACAAGCAAAAATCCGAAAATAAAACCACTGGAGTTAGGTAGGTACACTGCAACAGACAGCAAGCGGATTTATGAATTCGTGATCGAACCTAATATTTATCACGAATTGTATTCACTTTGAAATATTTGACTTTTAAAAACATTTCCGGGGGGGGGGGAGTGTTACAAACCCCTCCCCTGGTTGTGTCAATGGAATCGACTGTTTATAGATTGCGTGTTGTTGTAGCAATTGTATAATAACGATATCGATTTTTAGATACATTTCGTTTTGCTTAAAATGCTTGACGTTTAATCAGTTCAACTCCCTAAACAGTAAACATGATGGTATGCTTTTCAGGTAACAACCATTTGTCACGCAACGGACGTCTTCCCACTTTGATGGATACATATCAACCACCCAGGACGCGATCTAACCACATGCGCTTGGAGGAATCACATAGGTCGGAGGAGGAAAGGGCGGAAAAGATCAACTCTGACCTGGAGAAGATGATACAGTTTATGACAATTCTAGGCCAAGTTGATAGGTATCTGTCATCGAGAGCCAAGTCCTTCGTCAGCACACTGGGCCGAGCAATGGAAAACAATCCCGACGACCATCACCTTTACAACGACAAAGATATGTCTTTAGATTACTGAGCTGCACTCGGTATTAATAAAATAAATGTTATACCTACGTTTTTAAAATATTATTTATTTTATCCATTAACTTGTTCATATTTATTAATATTTATTTCTATAAAAACCGAAAAATTTGTTCATGGTAAATTGTGTTAAGTATATGCTACTTTTGTATTAAAATCAGGATAGAAGTCTTAAAATATCATACTACTATTATATTAAGTTAGTTATTATATTTATTTATCTTATTTTGTATTCATCTGAAGCATCAACAAGTATGGACATTAGTATTTTATAAGGGGGTTAAGGTTGGTTGAGAAACATGTGTGTATGTGAGGTAAGGATTTGTCACTAAAACCCAGGTGGTTACCCATCCAGGAGTTAGCGACGTCATACAATAGTTTCCTGCTGTATACATTAGTTACTACAGCAAACCACTGAACCACACAAGATGACCAGTTGGTACTGGTGTTCAAAATAATAATTTAAAGTAACTATTAACGATTAACATACACCTAAATGTTAAAAAAAAAACCATTCATTATTTAAATTTAAACTAATACAATTATTATTATTTATTTGTTTTGAAATTGTATTTTGTTTACATTTAATGAAATTTATTACACATCAACAACAGAATATATGTACACAATTTGTTATAAATATTTTTTTTGCACAAATGTACTTACTTGCCATAATACTGTAGTATTATAGCAGTTCAACTATTCAAAATAACCAGAAAATAAATATTATATAACATTAAATATTTATTAATTGGTGACAGTYTCGCTCTGTTCACTCTCCGTCTTACTTTTTTGCCTATTCCTCCAAGCTGTCATATAGGTATGAGGATGTATGGGCAAGAATCCAGATAGTCCTAAAAACAAATAAAGTATATTTAATCCATAAATTTAGTCTAAATTATAGTGTATACAGGGTGATTCTTTTAAGTGGGTACACTAATTATCTCAAAAAGTATTGACTTTTT